GCGCGCGCGCGCGCGCGCGCGCGCGCGCATACAGAGGAGAAGGGATAGTGAGCATTTACCAGTGTTTGAGAACCTGTTTACATGTCTCTGTACCAGACCCTGGGAATATACAGGAACAAAATCAGATACAACACCTGTCTTCAGCTTGAGTTCTAAAGGTTGGAAGGAGTTTGGCAGATTTCTCAAGTCCTCTTCCCGAATGTAAAAGGATATTACACATACTGAGGAACTTGGGGAAATTTTATTTATGGAAGTAACCTTGCAGCTGAAATATGATATTCCAGGACCATTGAAACAAATGCTCTAAGAACATGTTGAGCAATGGAGTTCTTCGTACATTAAAATAGAATGCCAAGAAGACATCAGAAGACCTCTTCTGGCTTTCTTCCTCTGGGAGCTCAGTCAGTAGTTTAGTGAGGACGCTGCTCTCCTTTTTGCAGTAGTTCAAACACTTCTCATTGTCAAGAGAGTAGAAGAGGGCTGGAGAGATGGCTCAGTGGTTAGAAGTACTGCTGCTGCTCTTACAGAGGACCTGGATTGTGTTTCCAGCACCTACTTGGTGCTTAACAACCATTCATAACTCCAGTTTCAGAGGATCTGGGCCATAACCCGCTTCTGGACTCTGCAGGCACTGCAAACACATAACACACATACATGCATGCAGGCAAACACTCATACATATAAAATAAAAATGAAATAAATATGTGGTTGATATATTGCGCACCCCAGTGAACTTATCTGGGGTCAGAGGACAGAACAGCCACTAGATATAGAGGCCAGAAAATGGTGGCACACACGCCTTTAATCCTAGCATTCCAGAGGCAGAGATCCATCTGGATCTCTGTGAGTTCAAGGCCACGCTGAAAACGGCCAGGCATGGTAACAAGAGCCTTTAATCCCAGGAAGTGATGGCAGGAAGCAGAAAGGTATAAAAGGCGTGCAAGCCAGGAACTAGAGCTGGTTAAGCTTTTAGACTTTTGAGCAGCAGTTCAGCTGAGATTCATTCTGGATGAGGACTCAGAAGCTTCCAGTCTGAGAAAACAGGATCAGCTGAGGAATTGGCAAAGTGAGGTAGGTGGCTGTGGCCTGTTCTGCTTCTCTGATCTTCCAGCGTTCACCCCAATACCTGACTCCAGGTTTGTTTTTATTAATAAGACCTTCTAACAATTTGTGCTACATAAATATTTTTTTAAAATAGTAGAAAATAAAAATCCTCCAAGATTTTTATTTTTATCATCCCTCCTTCCCCATTCATATCCCCAAAAGTTGCTGCATCAGGATGTTGACCATGGGACCCCACAAGCAACTGGGGATTACTACAATAAAAACTACCTCTTTGTGAAATTCCCTCACTCATCACCTGCTTACTCCATGCATATTGCCATTTCCAATTGTAACTAGGTTCCACATAGCTCATATATTTTAATACAACCATTTGCTAATTAGTATAATTAATAAGCACTTATGTGAGTTTCTATTTAGCCAACTCTATTAAGCTAGTAGAAAAAAACTTGGCTTAAATCAAGAGAGGGTCTATTCTGATTGACTTTGCAATTATCTCATATTAAAAATACTTCCTTTTATTCTCATACTGTTGGAGTCTGAACTGAGGATCGTATTACAAAGCAGTTATAAACATATTTTACAGTTTGCTTACTGTTAAATTACTCATGTGCTCGTTCTTTAAATATTTATAAATCACGGTGAGGCGTAGGCAGTTTGCCAGACATCAGGACACAAGAGTGAACAAGATGGATGAGTTCCTGTCCGAGTTGAAGCTCTGTGGCCATGCCAGTGGGTAAGTGGGTAGTTGTGTTACAGCACACGGCACTTGTGAACTTGAAGGGCACAGGATGGTGAGGTGGGGCTTGGTCCAGGGCACAGGCAGCGCAAGGGAGTTTGGGAATGTCGCCTGGAGGAACTGTAGTCCCGTGTGGAAGAGGCAGGAAGGCCGCAAGCAGAGGGTGTGGTGGAGACAGAACTTTCTGAGCAGAAGGGAAAGGACATTTGATCTGGGTGGGTAAATGCATGATAGGAGCCTGAACGGAGGATGCGCCAACAGGAAGGTCAGGAGTTTGAGCACTTCCACGGTGGCAGCGCTGTTGGGGACATCAAGGTTGCTTTGGCCTTCACACACTCAGAAAAGGACCAAGTAACGTGTAAAGGGATCATATTGAAAGTGTCACAGAGACTCGGGGATGAGTGAGTTCCTAAGACCCGTTCTCAGGCTGACAAAAATACTCTAAAGAATGTCTGCAGATGCCTTGCTGAGTCACTTTCCCACCAAATGAACTCACCGTGACCAGGGTTTACCCAAGACAAGGAGTCCTTCTGTGTGACCTCAGTTTAGAGATCCAGGGACCCTCAGGAACAGCTCAGAGACTCCATAATATGTTCAGTATTCTGGGTACTATTCTCAAGGTCTTACTGTATTTTCAATAAAGTGGATTCTGAGATGTGATAAAATGGGTTTAGAGATGTGGAGTTGAGAGGTTTTTATTTCTTGCAGAACACCGAGGAATTTGACGAGGCCAAGCGCATTGTTGTTATGGCAGACGTATGTGCCCCCTCTTATCAGCAGGCAGGCTCAGGGAAGAGTAAATTGGCTCCGAAGAAGCTGGGTTTTCAACATGATTTTGTTTGGTAATTTCAAATTCTGTTTTCTTACTGATGGTGCAGAAAGTTCCCAAAGATATGGTAATTACTGCAGAAATGCGGCTGCCGGCAGTTTGCAGCTATTCAAACGGTAACATTCCATTACAAAGGATCACAGTCTATGTGTTCAGTGCTGCTGCGGTTCAGCGTGTGTTCCCTACACCATGTCCTATAGGTTTATTTCTTTGTGCCTGCATGGGTGTATGGGGGTGGGTGGGTGCGTATGCACATGGGGTGGGGGGTGTGGAGACCAAAGGTCATCCTCAGATGTTCCTCAGGACACCCTCCATCTTGTTCTTTAAGACAGG